AGGCCAAATGCACAAAAGATAAAACATATGGTGGCGTATTATTCCACGTTCTGCAGAAGATTCATTCTAACTTAGCACATTTCGTGAGTAGTGCAGCCAAGCCCTAAGACTCACGTGCAGTGACCAACAGGCCCTAGCTACGTGAGCAACCCATAACTGCTGAAACACAGACCTGAAATCGAATCTTGAGTATATATCGGGCCAGCTTGTGCTCTATTTCATATTCACTGCCTGCCTCGATTTTGGTGGGGGGGTCTGTGCTACATGTCTGCGCGGACCCTTTAGATAACCTGCATGGGCTATCTGAGCTGTGTTAGGGGGATTCCCCCACCCCCTCGAAAAAAAAAGGACCTTACACACACATGCACACACACACGTACACACACACACACACACACACACAAATTCAAACACACACACTGTTTTTTTTTGTTTTTTTTTTTTCCTGTTTCGCCTGGGGCTTTGGCCCATAGCCCCCTAAAGCACCGCCGCCGCTCCCTACGCTGCCCACAGCCCCCCCAAGAACCGCTGCTGCTCTCCACACTGCCCAAAGCACCACCCCACCCCGCCCACCTCCCTGCGCGAACACGTCAAACGCGTTCACGCGCGTTCACTGCGTTCATACCTTGAACGTGAAACCCGCGTTCAATGAACGCGCGGTAACATAGCCAGGTGCAGCCTAGGAGCCTTTTTTTTCCCCCCCTTTAAAAGGCCAGGCCGTGAATAGGCCCAGACTGGGCCTGCACCCTGAGTGTTCGGTCCACGCTCAGGCCTAAGCTGCTCGCTAGGTCTAGGTGTAGGACGGGGCCAGGTGCTTGCTATTTTTTTTTTTTTTCGTTTTCTTTCTAATTCGAAGTCGAGGCCTCGACGGAGTCGACGCAGTGGAGCCTTTTTCTTGCCTGGACGCACATACTTTGGCATGCTCCATCCTCGACTTGGTCAACGTTTTATACAGTAATAAACGTTGAACTAGCCCGGGCCTTAGGCCGTAGGAACGTTGACTTGATCTTGGGCCTGGGCCGGTACTGATGTTGACATCAGTGTGGACCTGGGCCTCTTCTCGCGTTTACCTGGACCCAGAGTAGGTCTCGATCATGGGTGTTGGGTCTAGGCCCAGGTTTAAGACGTTGCCCGGGCCCAGGTCCAAGCTCTGACAATTTTGTTGCTTGTTTTGTTTTTGTTTTTTTTGCGGTTACAAAGGCCTACTCTGTCTGCCTGTCTGCCTGTCTGTGTGTCAGTCAGTCAATTTGTTTTATTGTTTGTCTGTCTGCCTGTGTGTGTGCCTGTCTGCCTGTCTGTGTGCCTGCCTGCCTCTCTCTACCAATCTATCTGTCTGTTTGTGACGTTGACCTGACCCTATATTGACGCTATACTTACGTTTGCCCGGCGCTATAGAGACGTTAACCTGCGGCCATGCATCAGTATAGCGCCTGGTCAACGTCACTATAGCGACAGGAAAACGTCAGGGTAGCGTCAAAATAGGGTCAGGTCAACATCAAATTTATTATGTTTATTATCCTGATGTTGAGCTGCTCCTGTACTGGACCTGTAATGATTTTTTTTTTTTTTTTTTCAGGGCTGAAGTGCAGGCCTCCGCCCAGTGGCAGACGTTGGCGTGGCCATGGTCTCGGCCTGTACCGCCCTTGACCAGGGTCTGGGCCCGGGTTTGTAATGACAATTACTTAAGCCGCTGCCGAGGCCTTTGTTGAGGTTGACTGGGCTTGTGCCATGTTGACCTGGACCTTGGCAGTCGGGGACACAGCCTAGGAGCAGGTCACGGAGACAGGCCCAGGGAAGGCCAAGGAAACAAGCATGCAGACAGACAGACAGACAGACAGACAGACAGACAGACGGACAGGCAGACAGACAGACGCAGAAACCGACAGATGGAGAGACAAACTGTCTATCTGTCCGTCCGCTTGTCTGTCTGTTTGTATGTTCGTGTGCCTGTCTGTTTGTCTGTCTGCGTGTTTGCTTTTCTGCCCGCTTGGCAGGTTGAACAGACAGACAGACAGGCAGACTCAGGAAGACAAACAGACAGGTGTTCAGGGAGGCAGACAAGCAGACTCAGGAAGACAGGCAGACAGGCAGACAGGTAGACAGGCAGACCGACAGGCAGACAGACAGGTGTTGGCCTAAGATTGGTCATGAGCCTTATCATGGGGATTGGCAGGTAGGCAAGCAGGCCCAGGTCAGGGAGACAGGGTCCGGGACACAAGGCAGGTGGGGAACACACGCTGGACTTTTGTTTGGGACACAGCCCGAGGGTTAGGTCAGGGACAGAGGCTGGGAGCAAGCGAGGGAAGCACGTCCAGGGAAGGGTGGGCACACAGGACCAGGCACGTAGCATGTAGGGGACAGCCTCAGGCTGGGCCTGAATCCTAGGCCCACGCCCAACGCTGCACTATCGTGTGTGCTCTCGATAAGATCTGTCATGCTCAGAGTGCCGTTATTTCTGGTCTGTCTGTTTTTCCGGTACCGGTATCTATTCTGCCCCTAACCTTCTTGTGGTCTAGGTAACCAGGCCAACTAGCCCTTGGGCCCAGACCAAGCTCCAAAATATCAGCCCAGGCATCAAAGAACCCGTTACTTTCCCTGGATACCTCCCGCACCCCTTTGAAGAACATATAATTGGGAAACCCCTTCAATTGCAATTCCCTTCTTAGCGCGAGCAACGTGGCACCCACTCCCCAATTGTCAGAGGAGTGGGCAACTATCCTATGCAGGTGACATTTAGCCGAAGCTTTTTTGAACTGTATCGGACCATACGACCAAAAGTCCTGAGTGGACAAAATCCTAATAGGGTTCTCTGACCACATTGTTGCCTGATTCTTCATACTGGCTACACACTTGACTACGGGAGGCTCGACGCAACTTGTAATAGAGCACCCAAAAAAATCCCATTTCCCGTTTTCGTCGTCTGTCCGGACTAGTGTTAAATTACCATCATAGAAGCTGAGGAAGCGCATAATTAGATTTCTTGCTTTCTCTAGCCAGGAGGAACTTTTTCCTGGGAGCAGTAGAAAAATGCTGACATCATCGACCAAACGAATGCCTGAGATGAACCTGGCATCCGTCCCAATGGATACCAGGAACATAGCCTCATTGTAGGAGCATAATAGGCATGCTAACGCTGGGCTCAAGCATTTCCCCATCGGGATCCCAACAACTTGCTTGATGACCCGTCTAGCAGCCTTGGCGAAGGTATTAGCAAAACCAAACATGACGAAGTCTATAATCATGGTGAACTTCACATTAACCCAGCCTGATTCTCCAAATGCTCTAGCAAAACTTGCACCTTTGCCACACCTGTTGACTCTTACTGATTCCTTGCCTTCACTTAGAAACGGATCACAAATCCACTCGACAACCTTAATAATCGATTGGTGAGGCAGCTTGGTGAACATCTCCTTGATGTCGAAGCTAGTTGCCAAAAAACATCCGTCCGTCAGTTTGGAGGTTCGCCGGTTTCCTTGTTTTGAGCAGAGAACTAGACTTAAGATTGAAATGGAATCGGCTTGGTAGACTCCAGAGAAGGAAATTGATGGCCCTAGCTACAATTTTACAAGCCTTTACATTAGGTTCCGCAAAAGATGGGGAAATAGGACGCCATCTAGAGGTGTCCTTGTGCTTTGGAATGCCGTAACAGCAGCCCAGATGGCCTTGGTATTCCAAGCTACAATACTGTCCGCCCCTATGGCCTTATATTCCCTTCTGCAGGTTTCTAGTAGTTCAGCCTCTTCTTTATCAACTACAACAAAACCCGAGTTCTCCCAAAATAGATCCGCCAGTGCATGAAAATAGATATTTTGACAGCAAACCAAAGAGTCACCAATATTACGGTCAATAGGGCAGACTACCATATCTGCCAATGTGGTCTTCCATTCATCTAGAGTATCAGAGTCACACCTGTTCTTGTTCTGTTGTGGCCTGAGACACCGACCCAATTCGTGCCTAGAAGGTTCCAATTTCGACAACTCTTCTAATTGTACTGGATCTGACGGGGCGATCCGTCGGAAGAGTGTTTTTGGAATTAATGAGATTACTCGGAACACCAGAGAATTCAAAAAAACGGAAGAAGATATGACCGTCTCTATTTTTAGGTAGAGTCGCATCCCTCGCAACACAGTCACACTCACATGATATTATCTTGGCCATATGCCTATGATTATGCAGATGATTCCCTATGGTTTTAGTACCTGTCCAAACAAATCTCAGTCGGGATATCATATAATCGGCAACACATTGAGGCTCGCAACGCCTCCGGATTTCTTTTTTTGCCAGATTGACAACTTCCGTTTTAACAATACTGTCAGAGAAAACGCATTTAATGGTAATGGCCGTCAGACACCTAAAGCCACATTTCAGCTTGAGCACCCTTCCAACCACTCCTTTCAAAACGACATGCAAAAGATTCAATACAATTATACAACTTGATAAGGGCTTTGATATCGAAGCTATACAACAATTTTCTGGACTGGGGTACTTGGAGCAGGGAAGCCAAAACAATCTTCCTCTGCTGAGACAAACCTTCCTGCAGTCTTATGTGCAAAATAGTAAAAGTACCTCCCTGCCTGAAAATTGTACGGGCATCTTTCAAAAAAATCCTATGCCCCTCATGTTCGACAATGGACCATCCCAGTCGCTTCTTCAAACGCCCCCAACCTTCAAAAAAATAGTAACCTCCCCTGGTCCTAATAGTCGCTGAGTAGCGATCCGAACTTACGACTTTCTCCAGCGCCGCGCTCAAAGAAAAGGTAGAGAGAGAATTCTTGGAGAACAAAGCACTACCAACCGAAACATCCCAAACAAGGAGGTGATGGCCAACAGCCTCATGTGACCTGTTCATATTGTTTTTTCGTGCAAAAGCTTTTCGCTCCCTTCTTCCTTTTCGCCTGCCCCTGCACTTGTGCCTTCTCTGTGTGTTGAGTGCAGGAGTCCATCTGGCAATGCAGTTTGCCTTAACTTCTCTCAGTTCATCGACTGGTACGTTAACCAGCGGAATAGCCACATATTTATCCCATCCCTTAGCACCCAACCATCTTCTCAACTTATGATTTCGTCTGGTTGAGAATCGATTCGCAGACCCCACATGCTCATCCCACCTATCATATATACCCCTAGTAGTACTCCCGATATAGGTAGCCTTAAGCCACGGTGAGAGAAGTACGTAAACGCATCAACCTTCACCTTCGCAAATATCATAACCCCCCCGAATAGACTCGACCCACTGGTCAACGAACTTCAAACCCCATGCGATCTGTCCTGCCAGGACTAGTAGCAGAATAAAAAATCTCAGCTTTTGTTCTAACCACCGTCTTTCCTTACCTTTCACTTCCCTGCTAGTCCTTACCTCGCAAAGATTGGACACTTGTTGCCATAGCCAACGGGGTTTGCGGTAGGACTCAAGAAGGGTTCTCCTCTTGAGTTTCCTCTGTCGTGTCGTTGTCGTGATCCTCCTCCTCATCTTCCTCTCCGTATGCTTCCTTTACTCGAATAGCTGTGAGATCGACAACAGCTTGTTTCTTATTATGATATTTGATTTCATCTTTATTGCATAGCTCCACAAGCTCATTCTTATATTTACCGATCATGAATTTCTCCATCTCTTCCCGATACTGCCTCCTCCCCCCTGCACCATGATTTGCGACAATAGCTTTAATCCCTTCCCTTAAGCGGTCAAAACCCAGCCCTGGTGATGCACCCATTGAGGAAAAACTGTCGGATATGCGTCTTGCTGTCCCTGCTACTGCAGCGAAAACCTCGGCTAGTCTCCCTGTTGATCTACCGTTGGGAGTGTCGACTTGAACTGTGGAGGGTCCAGCGTCGCCTTGACCATGTTGTGCGACATTGGGTGCCATGCTACGAGTGACAGGGCGATTGGCGGTCCTTGGAGCCTGATCTCTAATCACGACACCTGGAGCTCTTCTATTGGAAGGAGCTGGAGGGGCAGGTGGGGAATAAGATGGTCGAGGCACACGTGGTGGAAACTGTGGGACAGGAGGTGAAGAAGGACCGACTTGTGGGACAGGGGGAGGAGGAGGAGGAGGAGGAACATGCGGAGGAGGAGGAGGAGGGATCGCAACATCCGAGTGCTGAGGTTGGGAAGGAGCAGTCGGCCGAGGAGCTACAAGATGCGTCGTGTGAACATTCCGGACTTGCGGCGGATCTTTAGAACTACCCGTCATGGCGGCTTCGGCTGACGGTGCTTCAGCAGGAGGAACCGCAGCTCCGGAAGCCGGACCAACATTAGGAATAGCCGCAGACAAGGAAGCGCCTCTGTGTGATGCCTCGATCTTTTCGATGAGCTCAATGACGCGCTCAAACATCAGGTTCTGCTGATTCTGTGCGCGTTCAAACATTTGGCCCTGCTGCACCTGCGTACGCTGCACATTGTCCAGGTTCATGAGCAACAGTCCTGCATCCAACGCCCCTACCTCATTAACACGCTGTCTTGGCATTGATGGCTGCCCGGCAGCAGCACCGGCTACATCTTCCTGGCTTCTCTTCTTGGCATTGTCACCATTACCGACTGCCTTGTCGTTCTCAGCAATTTCTGAACCCTTTTTCAAACCGACTCTTTCCCACAATTTCCTATTATCCTCCTCTCTTTTCTTTTCAATTTCCTTCATTTTCTCATCCATCATTTTGGCTAGCCTAGCCTCCTTTTCCGCCTCCTTCTTAGCCTCATCCTCGATTCGTTTCATCTCTGCTTCCCTGGCAACCCTTTCCTGATCTTCTCTCATACGCCGCTCGCTTTCTAACCTACGAGATTCTCTCAGCTCCCTGTGATCGTAAGCCAGTTCACTCACTAGGGCCAGAATCTCTCCCTCAGCAGATCTAGGCCTGAAATTCCATGTATTCCAGCAATTAGATGCTCGGTGCGGTACGATATGACGTGGTTGGTATGGCACAAGTGCGTTCGAAGTGGATGTAGACGTATCCAGACCCCGTGCCAAACTACAAGAGAACGAAGCTGGAGGGGCGGGCGGGGGAAGTGGAAGCGGTGGTTGAAGGGGTGGTGCGGAAGGTGTGGTCAGAACCGATGAAGGAAGTGGCGGGGCAGATGGAGCATATTGAGGGGGGTTGTGCGGGTGAGAAAGGATGGGTTGGTTGGGATTAGGAGGTAGACTGAAATTCGGCCCTCTGATTGGTCTTCCCGATACATACCGATCATTCCTCCTCGGGTGAGGGCACGATCTGGCCCAATGGCCATGCTGACCGCAATTGAAACATGCACCGTACGAAACAAAGTTGTCACCCATGCTATCTCCTTCAAAACATTATTACCACGTAGTCACCCAAATAGCATGAAGAAACACGGACGCTTGATAGAGAGAGTCGTGGACGAGAAATTCTGATGATCGTTCTTGAAAGCGCTCGATCTCGAAGCAGCGACTTCGATGCCGACGAACTCGATGCGACGATGCGAGACGATCTCGAGAGCGATCGCAGACGCGGATCCACCACACCACGAATATCACGGTGGTTAACATGCTGGTAGTGGTCAGGTGAAAGGTCGTCGTGCGAAGGCACGATCAAACCCAAACCTCGTCACAGGGACAGACCCTGTTAATGACCAAGATAGCGTCACCCACTCCGACTCAGCAAAACAAGACATCCATAGTTTGAAGCATACCAGAGGATGATGCGCAGAAGAGGAAGGGGAAAGGAATAGAAGTAGAAGAGATCAGATAGAAAAGTAGACAAGAGAAGGAGTAAGCGCAGTGGGAGGGTTTCCGGGACACAGGCCTATGCCCCCTGACACCCCCCCCCCCCAAAAAAAAAAAAAAAAAAAAAAAAAAAAAAAAAAAAGCAAAAACGTTCACCATTTTTTAATGCCAGGACTCGTACGGGCGAACGGGTTCACGTACGCGGGGGACGCGAACGGCGTGGGACGGAGAATAGTAATAATAGTAATAATAATAATAATAATAATAATAATAATAATAATAAGTAATATCAATAATGATAATAATATTCCCTTCTCGGGAGTGCAGGGAATATGAGTGTGAACGTTATGCAGAAAACTAATTTGCGAAATCACACAGATGTTAAAGTAGTCGTGTTCAAGCAGAGAGCACAAATGCACCGAGATCCCCTATCCAAATAAGACCAATACGACAAAGTCATGAACCAATGTTCAAGCCATTAGGCCATACCAACACATCATGGATCAGTTTATCTGATCGTCTTCTTCCTGTATGTCAGTCGGGTTCGTTTGTTTCTGTTTGTTCTTTCGGTGCGTATTTGTCTGTGTCGGTCTATGTTTGTCTGTACGAGTCTGTCATCCCGTCTCAGTGTGATCGTGTACTTGCTACAGTGTGTCCCCTGTGTGATATACAGGGTGATCCAGAGTTGAATGAGTACGAACGGTGGAGTTGGACACAGCAACGAACAGTTAGGTGCGACAATGCCATAGTTATCTAAAGCGAGTCTGCATTCGAACTGTATTCTCAGTTGCCGTATCTCTGAGTTTTGAGTCTGTGCTTGTCATCAATCTGGTGTGCCGTCTGTTAGCATGCTTGTGAAGTGAGAAAGAAAGTGAGCCTGATTGCAAGTGGAAATAATAATAATAATAATAATAATAATAATAATAATAATAATAATAATAATAATAATAATAATAATAATAATAATAATAATAACAACAACAATAATAATGATTAATAGTTTATCATAAGAAACCAAACAACATCACACACATGAAAACGGATAGTCATGACTTTGAACCAATGCAGAATTGCATCACGAGTTCTACCAAGTAAGAGCACAGCAAAGGCTCATAAGTGACATGTTAGGCGAGTCTTATCATCATTGATAGAAAACCAATGTAAACTCCTATCTGGCGTCTTGTGCCCAAACTACAAATGGCATAGCCTACCTATCCTATCTACAAGCTGCAGATGACGCTAACAACTTCCCTGGAGTACGAATAGATCTCGGCCAAATGCCGCTGTCACGATCCCATGTCGACATGGGCATTTATTATAAATATTGATAATAATAATAATAATAATAATAATAATAATAATAATAATAATAATAATAATAATAACAATAATAATAATAATAATAATAATAATAACAATAAATAATAATAATAATACAGTGGTAGCGAGGAAATGAGTGACAACGAACATTAGACTATGCCGCATCATACACATGAGACCAAATTGTCGTGACTTCGAACCCATGCAGAATTTGCAATACGAGTTCCACCAAATAAGAGCACCGTAAAGGTTCATAAGTGACAATATCAGAATAGTCTCATCATCAGCAACAAAGAACCAATATCGGCATCCTGTCTGGCGCTCAGCATCCGGACTACAAATGGTTGATCCTATCTAGCCTATCTACAGTGCTGCTGGTGACGTGAACAACTTTCCGAAGCATGAGCAGATATCGGTCAATGTCGTTCCCCTCAGGCATCGAGTATGTCTCTCGTATCACTCATAACCTCGATTCCCCACTCAAGTGCCACGTGTACCCAAGGACCACGATTCATATCATCTCGGTTATGGCTGCCTTGCTTGTTGTTATCAGGCATTGCCCTGAACCCAACGCTTGTTCTTTTATTATTTAAGATAAATTCATAATAATAACTAGCTAAGCGCCCACGGTGCGGGCGGTGCGGGCAATGCCCGCAAAAAAAAAAAAAAAAAAAGTTAGGCTCAAACGAAATGCTGAATTTTAGCACTATTAACGAATTCAAGAAACGGAACACGCATACAGAGACAGAGAGAGGGAGACAGAAAGAGAGAGAGAGAAGGAGAGAGGAGGGAGAGAGATAGAAAAACACAGATAGAGAGAGAATGAGGAGTAAGAAAAGAAGAATGCAAAGAACAAAGAAAGAAGAACATCATTCAAGTCAGGAACAACGTGCAAAATGATGAAGGCACAATAACCACAAAGTACAATTCATCTCCATTTTATTAAAAGAAAATAAAATCAGATTTATTTGCTCTCTTTGTCTCTCTCTCTTTGTCTCTCTCTCTCTCTCCGCATCTCTCT